GGTAGTGTCTGCTGTAAGTGTAGCAATAACAATAGTATTTCTCTCCCCGTAAAGCCCCGTAGGAAACGATCTACATCCATTCCAAAGTCCAGTCCAAAAGCTCCAAGTGTCTGCTGTAACAAAACTGCTTGATGTTGTAATTGAGCTCCAGACGGAGGTCTTCGCTGTCGACTGGTGGCCTCTAGCATCCACCGAAAACAATGGTACGCACTTTGATCCACTGAGAGCGTGGGGATGTGAGCTGCGATGAGGTGGAAGAACCAGCGTCCGTCTCGTAAATCTCGTCCAATATCCAGCAGTTGCGTCTCTAAAATTGCTCCTCCTAACGACGCTACAGGTGCATTTTGAGGCTTATGAAGCGCTCGTACACGATCGCAGAGCCACTGAATCAACACCATCTCAGCTTCGCTGTAAACGTTGCTGCCTTGACACGCTCGTCCGGCGGAATTTGGGTGTTTTTCACCTTTCCTTTTGTCACTTCGAGCTGTATTTTCCCCACTAGAGTTTTCGTCACTTTGAAGTTGCATTTGGTACCCTTTCCACGTGATCCGAGACAGTAAAAAGCACTTGATAACCTGGTAAATCACCTTCATCCAAGCTGCTGAACTTACTGCCTTCCACTCACTCTTAAGTACTTGTCGTCTCGCTACAAACGGCAGTGAAGCGTACGATGGAGAAGAAAGAAGTGCCGGATCAACTTGAGGGTTCTCACACGCTCTTAAGTAAAATTCTTGAGATAATAATTGCTCTGGATACACATCGTGCACCATGGCTCCATACGATCGAAGGAAACGCAGTAACTCCATGAATTGAGTCGTGAGCTGAGTCAGTTGGTCCTTTTTAGAAGCCTGAGCTACCGAGTTCGAGTAAACGGTTGCTTTACTGCCGCTATTCGTGGCCTCTGCGGTTTTTTTCTTGGTGGTACCGCCTCCAAGACTTGGAATGGCTGGTCCCCCTGGCTTCTTGATGCAGATCATGTCGAGTAACTCGTACAATGGACGACCAGCGTTATCAGCAAATTCCTCGGGAAATTTCACCACTGGAGTTCGAAGGAAATTCGCATTGAGATATTGCATCACAAGCTGAATTTCTCCCTCTGAAAACGGTACATTGGTTGTTGATTGAGTAAGGAGAGAACTAGTGGAATTTGACTCTTCCTCTTCATGATCCGTGGACGGATCGACTACCACAAACCCGCTCGCTGATGCGTTTTCTTTGGCTTTTTCTATCTCCACTTGAGCTTGTTTGGTGGACAGCAGATATACTGGGAAATGACCTGAAGCGTGAGTGTAGAACTGGAATTCTAGACTAGATTTTGAAACGATTTCAGATTCTAGATCGGATTTAGAAGACGCTTTTCGTTGAGGTGAGCCACCGAAGTCTTCACTAAGTTCTGCTGCTAGACCATGCGTTTGAAGGAAAGAATAGTTCGTAAACAGACAATTCTCTGCACATCCAGCAACTGGCAACGCGAAGGAATTCCCATCAGCATCGAAGAACTCAACGCGTGCATTAAACGCCACACTAGAAGTACTGGAAAACCGTAACTCAACGGGTAGACTCGGACACGCCATACTCAGTGTTTTCCCACGTGGGAAAAGAACTGTAAGCGGTGCACGCGACGTATCAAGCGGGACTCGACAATTAAGTTCCAGATGATCGTAGCCCGTAGCGTAAACGTGAAATTGAGCATTCGCAGTCATTCCTAACGGGACTGTAGGAAGCACCACTCGATTCGTCGAGAATGATAAATGCGGATAAATTCCTTCGCCTCGTAAGCTAAAATTCACGTAAAATTCATCGTCGACAAAGAGCGGTAATTCATCGTCGGCGTACTCTACAGCATCCAAAGGTAAGAAACTCACTCGAATTGTCACTTGCTCTCCTGGTGCCAGTTCGCCACGATCAGGGGCGACGTGGAAGACAACGGACATCGCACTGCTTGAAGGGTTAACCGATGCAATTCTCTTGGCTAGAGCAGCCCCAGAACTCGCTCCTGATGCCACAACAGCAGCCGCTCCAGCTGCGAATTGAATGAGGTTGCCTTGTCTTAGTCGAGTAGTATCGATCTGCCATCGTATAGTCTGCTCGTCGTCGTTAGTTAGCACCAATTGCTTCGTGTAGGGCACTTTACGGAT